CCTGGAAGAGTGTTCTATTGTGCGCACCGCAAAAGATGGACAGCATATGGCGGACTGGGGAAGCCCCCAAAATTCAGAAAAATTTTCTTATTATTCCTTTAATGAAAGCAGACCAGAAATTCAACCTGTTCTAGCAGTCTTAATAAACCTAAAAATGAATTGGACACTTTTACAAAGCAAGCGTGCTCGGGAAAGATTTCAATAATGTAGCATTCTGTCTTTGAAAGTTCTTCAAAACTTTTCATCAGGCAATCAGCTGCCTTCAGTTTACTACAGCCGAACAACGTGTTTTCCGAATGTTTCTGCTGTTGGGAAGCCTCGCCCAAGGACAGTTTCCCACTGAGCTTTAGGGAGAGTGGAGGAGAGAGGGAGAGACAGAAGCATCGATGTGAGAGAAACACGTCGACTGGCATGAGCCCCAAACAGGGCCTGGTTTGGGGAGGAGCTTGCAACCAAGGTACGTGCCCTTGGCCAGAATCGAACCCGGGACCCTATGGTCTGCAAGCCGACGGTCCATCCACTGTGCCAAACCAGTGAGGGCGTTTTCAGAATGTTTTATTAACTATGGTGAAATCTGATCCCATGAGCAACATTTATTACAAATAAATACCTTGGAGTCTTTATATATATATTTTTTTCTAACCTCCTCCCTGGACATACCTTCCCAGGAGACCCTGGATCCTTCTAAAATTACGTTCACTAATAATCTTTTAAAGGGCAGAACAGGACACTGATGTGATATTGTATGCCGACTGTCATTGAAAAATAAAATAAAATGTAAAATAAATAAATAAATAAATAAAAAATAGAAGGGCAAACTGGTGTAAGGGAATTTGGAGGAAAAGTTGAGGAAGCAGGCTTACTTACACAATAACTTAATATACAGTAACTATTCTCGCCAGGCTGTCACCTCCACATAGTATGTGAAATACATAACTAACTGCCTCTTCTCCTCCCCAATATGTTACAGTCCCTCATCGAAGCAAAATCAAGCCAAGCTGCTTTGGACTTGGTGACTGTCATGTCATCACGGCGTTGGTCACGGCGTTATCATTTCATCGGCCACTTACAGACAGACCTCCAAGTGCAGGCTCTTATGAGCTCCCGCCTGGGTTATTTTAAGACGCCTAATTTGTCCCCCCGCTTTAATCTAGCCCCAATCGAATCCAGAGAACATCCGCACACAGGCCAGCTTAAGTGCCGCTCTGATGGATACTGCTGTGATTAGCTAGCTATTAATAACAGGAAAGGGGCAGAGGGAAAGCCACACATTACAGGCATGTTCCCTGTAATAAAACACGTGGAAAGGGGACTGGACAAGGGAAGAGAGACACAGGCCCAGTAAAGTTGGGGGAACTTGGATGGTGCTGCCTGCACAACTCAAAATTCCAGACCCCAAGAAAGTATTCAGGGTAAATCACCCTGAGTCTAGGCCAGAGAGCCACTCTGAAGTTCAACACCAAATCAGTGCAGGGAACTGCTGTCCATCCACATTCCCAAGTGCCTGCAGACACAGTGCAAGCAAGCCCTTTCTTAAGGAAAGCGGTCTTGGGCCTGCTATGTAACTCATCTCCTATATTTGGGAGGAATATTACAGTTGTGAACTATATTCTATATAATAAAAGTCTAATATGCAAACTGACTGAATGGCAGAATGACCAGCCGCTATGATGAGCACTGACCACTAGGGGGCAGATGCTCAATGCAGGAGCTGCCCCCAGCCAGCAGACCCCAGGCCAGCCAAGATGGCTGCGAGCAGAGGGCCCCCCTAATCACCCGGCCGGTCGTCCCACAGAGGGAGGTGACTGGCAGTGGTGGTGGGAAGTGGGGTCAGTGAGCAGGTGGTGCCAGGCCTGCCAAGGCAGGAGCCAGTGGGGGCCCCGCTGGTCACTCCACAGATCAGCCCTGATCGCCAGCCAGGCCTGGGGACCCTACTCGTGCATGGGAAAATCGTGCACCAGGCCTCTAGTTTGATGTATAAGAGACAAATAAAGTGATTTTTAAAAAAATTAAAATTATAGCACTTAATTACAGATGCACTGCCTATACTGGCACCTAGGGATGAAAGCTATGCAATTCTTAAATCATGCTCATCCTTTCGGCATTTTGGGCTTTCCTTTTCCCTTGTAAAACGAGGTACACTAATCAAACCTAAGCTTCCATAGCTGTCATGATAAGGGAAGTAAGTGGAGCATCAAGATTTGGAGACAAACCCTCTGGGACAGGCTCCTGGTGTGCTCTGTGTGTTAACCGGGTGCCAGAGCACTGGGGTACCTGATCTCACAAAACCTTCAGGTACCTGATCTTACAAAACCCCTCCATCGGCCCCTCCCGCCAGCGGTGGTTCTAGTTTGCAAACCGAAGCTTCGGGAGACTAAGGAGCCACCCAGGTTTTCCCCGGCAGAGCTAGGTTTCAGGCGAACACCCACCTAATTCCAAACCTTCGCTCTTGGCTTTACACCAACCACCTCTCCCTCACAAGGCACAGGCTCCTTCCTTATCGTGGATCATGTCCCGCCAAACGAAATGGGGGTTTTTGTTTGGTCGGTTGGTTATACAGAGCACTTTTCTTAACCTTCCTGACTTTGATTAAAGTCAGAATTTCAGTTGGAAGGGGTAGGTGTTCAGCTGAACCCAGATCCTCGCCTTTTCCCTTTCCAACGGGTGCAAATTACAAATAAAATTACACCCCTGGCTTGTTCACACACCATTAGGAACCTCCCAGCTCAGCAGAGCACGCAATTTTCTCCTTTATCCGGCACAGATCTGTTTGAGATCAGTATCAGCATCTCGGCATTTCACTTACCAGATGTGGGGACCTTGGGAAAGTTAGTTATGCTTTCTGAGCCTCAGTTTATGCGTCCACCAAATGGGGAAATCCCTAGATCCTGGGCTTGCTGTGAGAATGAAATAAGGTAACGTATGTAAAGGGCCCAGCCTATCCATGACTACCTACATCAGAATACCAACTGATTTGAGAGGAGCAGGCCAAATCAATAACCGGAGGGAGGAAGGAGGTGGTAGGGAAGGACCCTGACCACCAGGTGTCACCACTGGCCCAGAAGCCCTGGCCTCACAGCCAGAAGCGCTAGGAGGTGGCGTCAGAGAAACAGGGTAAGGGTCAGGGTCAGGGGAACACTACCACTTGCACCTACGGGACAGTTAAGAACTGACTTGGCTTTTCAACACCTTCACGGCTAAAACCATTCTAAGTTACACTGTTCTCTTACCTGTGTTAAAAATTATTGCAGTGTAATTAACCAGCTGAATAGCCACAGGTTTGTCAGAACAGTTTAATTTTAAAAATTACCCTCAGCTAACCATGGTTGTTTTTTCCCCTTTGTTTTTTAGTTGATTTCAGAGAATAAGGGAAAGGGCGAAGAGAGGTAAAAACAATGATGAGCCGAAACCGGCTTGGCTCAGTGGATAGAGCGTTGGCCTATGGACTGGGGGGAAGGGGTCCCAGGTTCAATTCCGGTCCAGGGCATGTGCCTTGGTTGCGGGTACATTCCCGGTGGGGGGTGTGCAGGAGGCAGCTGATCGGTGTTTCTCTCTCATCGATGTTTCTAGCTCTCTGTCCCTCTCCCTTCCTCTCTGTAAAAAATCAATAAAATTTTTTTTAAAAAAACCCTCAGGGAATCAACAAACTTACAGTAAAAACAAACAAACAAACACAAAAACATCAACAATGAGAGAGAATCATGGATCAGCTGCCTCCTGCATGCCCCATCTTGGGGATGGAGCCCATAACCCAGGAATGTGCCCTTGACTGGATTCTAACTGGGACCCTTCCATCCACAGGCTGACTGCTCCATCCACCGAGCCAAACCAGCCAGGGCTGACCCTGTTTTAATTCTGAGGCTCCACAGTGCTTCATCCTTGGCTTCGCCCAACGACACATTACCATTCCTGGCTTCCGAAGGCTCCGATATTGCCACGGCAGACACTTTTCTGGCCCCAATTCCACACCCTATTGACATTATGTCCTTTATGTTATTATTATTAATAGGATGGCAGATTAAAAGAGAAGCAGGGTGTTTTTAGGGCAAAAATAAAGTCTATGAACAGTGCGTTTAAGCAAAAGAAGCATGAATTATTAACCTTTTTTTTCCTGGATCACAGGAACTTCAAAGTTCGTTGTTGTTGTTGTTGTTGTTTTTTAGATGTCGTACATGTTCTGTTTCCTTCAGGAACACTAGCTTGGGGTAAACCTGTTCGCTTAACGAGTAGCCCTGACATTATTCAAGAGCGACTCCTGGGACTGGCTTCTGCAGCCTACCAACGCCTCGCCCCAGGGGTTCGTTTCAAAGTGGGGGCAGGGGCTGGGCCCTCGCCCTGGCGCTGGGTCCTCACCCCGAGGGCACCGGGGGCCCCTCGGAGGGGGGCAGTCCTGCAGGGGCCCCTCAGAGCTGGAGGCACAGACCGCAGCCCCGGCCCTATCAGCAGCCGGAGTTCCACGCTGCATTTATTTCACAAACATGGAAACGTCTTAAGAAAAACCAGCCCGAGCCGGCTGGGCTCAGTGCATAGAGAGAACGTGGGCCTGCGGGCGGGCTGACAGGTCCCAGGTTCGATTCCGTTCAAGGGCACATGCCCGGGTTGTGGGATCGATCCCCAGGAAGGGGGGAGGAGGGGAGGGCAGGGCGTGCAGGAGGCAGCCGATCAGTGGTTCTCTCTCATCGTTTATGTGTATCTCTCTCTCCCTCTCCCTTCCTCTCCGAAATCAATAGAGAGAGAGAGAGAGAGAGAGAGAGAGAGAGAGAGAGAGAGAGAGAGAGAGAGAGCGCGAGCGCGCAGAGCATCCTCTTCCTCGGGGAGCACCTGGCCTCGGGGCCCAGAGGCACCGGGCGGGCTCTGCAGACCGATGCCCGGCTGCCCGGGGGCTGGCGGGGGGCAGGCCGGTGCCCTCCCCGGAGGGGCGCTGCCGGGGCCGCCGCGCCGGGGCGAGGCCGGGCGGGGGCGCGGGCCTCGGGGGCTCCGCGGGCTCCGGGGGCGCTCACCTGGGGGACTCGGCGCTGAAGCTGCCGCCGTCCAGCAGCCGCATCTTGCAGAAGAGGACGCCGTTGACGAAGGGCACGGAGGAGAGCTCGTCCAGCTCGAAGTCCACCTTGAACTTGAACTTCTTCCTCTTCATCATCATCCTGAGCGCCAGGCGCCGGCGGGCGGGGGGCGGGGGCGGCCCCGGGGGGCGCGCGGGCCGCCGGCGCGTCAGCTCGGCCGGACCCCAGGCCCGCGCCGCGCCATGGCCCGGGCGGCGGGCGGCGCGCGGGGGCGCGGCCAGCGGGCGCCGCGGGAGGGCGGGCAGCGGGGCCGGGGCCGGGGCCGGGGCCGGGGCCGGGGGCCGCAGTCCGGGCCGGGCCGCGCCGCGGGGCTTCGGGGCGGTGGGCGCCGTGTCGGTGCTCCGCTCGCCGCCGCGCGTCTGAGCCCCGGAGGGAGGCGCCGCTCCGGGAACCGCCGCTCCTCGGCCGCGGGCGCCCCCAGCGGCGGCGGCGAGCAGCGCAGCGCCCGGCGGAAGCGGGGGGCCGAGCGAGGAAGCGGGGGGCGGGCGGCGCTCCGCGGGGGAAACGAGCTGCAAAAGCTGTTAGGGGTCACGTCGTCACATCGCCCGGGGATTCAAAAAAAGCGAACCCGACCCCAAGGAGCTCCGGCTCCCGCTTCCTCCCGGCCTTTTCCTGCAACGTGGCTCCGCCTCCCGCCGCCCGCCCGCCCCTGCGGCGGGGATTTCCCCTTGGGATGGGCAGTCCCGGGCGAATGGGATTCATCAGCATCTCCAGGACGCTGTTTCCACCCAATGGAGATCCTAAAACTAAAACTCGCCTTAGGTACTCAATCCGCGAGCCTTCTCCATAAGATGTGGGCACCAGAGGGCAAGGCAAAAGCATGAAGATGGGTTCGGGCCTACCACCGCCCAGGCCCTGGCCTGCTCCAGGCGGTGTCTCTGGTTTTTACTGGAAATCTGAAGGGCTTAAAAATAATAATTCTCTTTCCGGGTTTGGCTGTGCACACTGAGAACTAGAAAGTCTAAAAGCATAAAGGGCCAAAACCGGTTTGGCTCAGTGGATAGAGGGTTGGCCTGCGAACTGAAAGGTCCTGGGTTCGATTCCCATCCAGGGCATGTACCTTGGTTGCGGGCACATCCCCAGTAGGGGGTGTGCACGAGGCAGCTGATCGATGATTCTCTCTCATTGATGTTTCTAACTCTATCCCTCTCTCTTCCTCTCTGTAAAAAAAATCAGTAAAATATATTTAAAAAATAATAATAAAAGCATGAAGGCTCCCTAGCTGCACAGCAATTACCCGCCGTCTGTAGGCAGGTTACATGTATTTTTCAGTGTATGTTGCCTGCTTGGTTACATGTTCGTTTCAAACTGAGTTATTACTGTCCTTTTAACTCAGATTCCCTGTGAGTATTCTCTGAAGGGGTCTAATTGAAGAGGTTCTCTTTCCTAAGTCAATCATTTATCAATGCATTCATTCATATAAAAAAAACCCCCATATATTTGTTAGTCCTCACCCGAGGTTACATTTATTGACTTTTAGAGAGAGAGGAAAGGAGAGAAGGGAGAAAAGAGAGAGACTTTGATAGGCCACCTTCTGTCTGCCCACCCCCCACCAGGGACCAACCACAACCTAGTTGTGTGCCTCAACTGGGAATCAAACCCTCAACCTCTTTAGTGTAGGGGAGGAGTCTCCAACCAACTGAGCCACCAGGTGGGCTATATAAAAACACTAGAACCGGTGCTCAAAATCTGTGTACTGGGGAGCGGCAGCGGTGGTGGTGGTGGTGGTGGGGGGGTGTTCCCTCAGCCGGGCCTGCACCCTCTCGAAGTCCAGGACCCCTTGCTACTTATCACCTGCCTGCTTGCTCGTTACCGCTCAGCTTGCTGCTCCATGGTGCTGCCAAAGGAGAGGATTCTGCCATCGCAGCTGCACTCGTCAGCCCTGAGCCCAGCTTCTGGCTGAGATGCCGCTCTCCCTGTGGGAGTGCATTGATCACCAGGGGGCAGCTCCTATGTTGAGCGTCTGCCCCTGGTGGTCAGTGTGCATCATAGCGACTGGCCCTTCTGGTCCTTCCACCATAATGGTCACTTAGGCTTTTATTATATAGACTAGTGGCCCAGTGCACAAAATTTGTGCACATTAAAAGGGAATTAATTAGAGGAAATATTTTATTAAATATATATTGCTATTTGCCCTTTCTCTATACTAGAAGTGTCAGAGATGAAAGAAAATTAGTAAAATGTATATGAAAACCTCCCTCCTGTCAGAGTCTGGGACGTGCCACAGGACCCAGAGTCAAGTTCCTGCCCACCTGCACACGCCTCAAAATCTCGTGAGACCCAGATTCGGCTGGACCCATCAGGCTGGCCCAGCCTTGCAGCCTCAGGTCCCCAGTCAAGGCCTGTCGGGCAGCGGGCATGGCCTCAAGTGGAAGAAATGGAAGAATCCAGAGGCAGAGTTAGGATTTGGGGTTGGGGTTGGTAGGGGGTAAAGCTGGCTGCTTTGCAGGTCAAGGGAGAAGGCAGTAGAAAGAATAAGCGGACATTAAGGTCTGTAACTTGGACTAGATGGTTGTGAATTCCATTGAATGAGCCTTGGAAGCTGGAGGGCAGGTTGGAATGGAAGAGATAACAGCACTTGAACTGTGGGAGAGACACTCAGGGAGAGAAGGGCAGCCTAGGTCAGGTGAAAGGTTGAGACTGAAAATACGCATTTGGGAATTAGAGTATTTCCTGTTGGCTGAAGCCCCAAAGGTGGATAAAAATGAGTTACTCGGAAGGACTTTAAGGGGAAGACGGAGGAAGAGGAGCTTGTGAAAAAGAGGTTAAGGAAAATGGCCTGGGAGCCAAGAAAGAGTTTTCATCACTTAGTGTTCATGGTTACTAAGTCCTACTATGTGCCAGGCACTCAATGAACAAGACACAGGGGTGGGGTGGGGAGTGGGGGTGTTTATAAGTGAATGGAGGATAACATAGATGTGCAAACAGATCAGAGGGAGGGAAGGAGGGAGGGAGAGAGAGAGAGAGAGAGAGAGAGAGAGAGAGAGAGAGAGAGAGAGAGAGAGAGAGAAAGAAAGAAAGAAAGAAAGAAAGAAAGAAAGAAAGAAAGAAAGAGAGAGAGAATTTTCATGATCCATGGAGAGCAGAGGAAGGAGTTTCCAGAAAGTGTTGCAGAGAAATTCTGGAGGATTTGGACTGAGTGGAAGCAGAGTTTGCCACTCCAAATTATGCCACTTGGGATATTAATTATTTTAAGCTGGTTATTATTATTTTTTTTTTAAGAAACAAAAGACTCAGAAAGAACCATCGACCCATCTACCCCTTAATTGCCTAAGGGAATTCAGACAGAAAAGTCTAGTTTAAAGGAAGTAAGCTTATCACCTTATCTTAAACGAGTGTGACAGAAAGGAAGGCGCTTAGCAACCTCTGTGTCTCCGGTGTCTCCGGTCTCTGGGTGGCCCAGCAGGAATTTCTTTACCAAAGGTTTGCTCTTTCTCACCTCCCTTCCCTCTGAAGTCTCAGACCCCGGCCTCCCTCCTCTTAGTCTCGAACAGCATCTGTGCCTTAACTGCCCTATATGTCCTCAGGGTCCTATATTCTATGAATCCGTCTGTATATATGTAATAAATTTCGTTATTTCTCCTGTTACTCTCTTGTGGTAACTTGATTATTAGACCACCCAGAAGAATTGAGATGGGTAGAAGGAAAATTGTTTCCTATCTTACAACGGGAAAGAAGCTGTCGAATTGAAGATCTTGTAGGTCATTGATAAACGTGGCGGGAGAAATTTCCATAAGAGGTGGTGGCAAAGTAAGAGTAAAGTGGTCTGGGTAGTAAATGGAAGATAGTAATGAGGAGTGCATGGCTAAAAATTATTATTATTATTATTATTATTAAATATATTTTATTGATTTTTTTTTTTAATAGAGAGGAAGGGAGAAGGAAAGAGAGTTAGAAATATCATTGATCAGCTGCCTCTTGCACACCCCCTACTGGGGATGTGCCGGCAACCAAGGTACATGCCCTTGACCGGAGTTGAACCTGGGACTTTTCAGTCTGCAGGCCGATGCTCTATCCACTGAGCCAAACCGGTCAGGGCTAAAAATTATTGTTTTCTGCTTTTTGTCATTGAATGCAGAGAGAGGACGGTATCTGGAGGAGGCGGGCTGGAGCCTTTTCAGCAGCATTCAGGAACTTCCTGTCCAAGATTCACTGAGAGCCTGCGAGGGCCAAGCACCCTATAGTCCCGGGGATCGGAGACGCGGTGCCTGGAGGATCCTGGAGCCAACGGAGAGGAGCTGGCAGGCAGTTGCGGTCCGTGCAACCCAGAATCTTGCCTATGTGTGGTGGTAGAGGCTGCTGTGGGAGTGTATACTGACATCTAGCTGGGAAAGCAGGTTGTGGAACTTTGTGGGTGCGTGACATCTGAGCTGATGTCTGAACGATGAGAGTGGGGGAGGAGGCGGTTTCCAGGAAGAAGCTACGGCCTCTGCGAAGGCTCAGGGGAAGAGAGCCCGTGTTGCAGGAGGAACTGAAAGCAGTTCAGGCTGCAACTTAGCATGGGGTGCGGTGACGGGGGTGTCATAGGGAGCCACCGAGGTCTTAGAACAGAGGGATCATATATTCAGATTTGCTTTCTTTTTTCTTTTTTAAATATATTTTTATTGATTTTTGACAGAGAGGAAGGGAGAGAGATAGAGAGTAAGAAACATCGATGAGAGAGAGTCATCGATCAGCTGCCTCTTGCACACGCCCTACCGGGGATATGCCCGCAACCAAGGTACATGCCCTTGACCGGAATCGAACCCGGGTCCCTTCAGTCCCCAAGCCGACGCTCTATCCACTGAGCCAAACCGGTTTCGGTTGCTTTCTTTTTTTAAATCCTCACTGGAGGATATGTTTTTTTTTTTATTGATTTTAGACAGAAAGGAAGGGAAAGAGAGAGAGAAACATTGAGGGGGGATGGTTGCCTCCCCACCTGGGATCGAACCTACAACCTGGGTATGTGCCCTGATCAGGAATCGAACCCACACCTTTTGGTGTACGGGATGACTCTCCACCCAACTGAGCCGCTGGGCCAGGGCCAAATTTGCATTTTATAAAGATCTCAAGCTGCAGTGAAAGTAGATAGGAAAAGCCT